TTCAAACTGATATTTTAACATTCGTTTGATTATTATTATTATTACCACGACAATAATACATTTTATGTGCATCATAAGATGTTTTATATTGAAATGAAATTTGACATAATGAACAAAATGTATCATCTGTTAATTTTTTCTTAATATTATTTAATACATTTTTTGTTGTTGGTCGTAATGAACAATAATTTGACATATGTTGTTTTAATGTATGAAAATTACCAAATTTAATATAACAAAATGGACATGAAAATTTCTTTTTTATAGAATTTTCATTTGATAAATTTTTCTCTACTGATTTTCTATCAATCTTTTGAGTAGTGAGATTTATAGAATCAGATGACGATGATGATTTGTTATTTTTATCTAAGAAACATTCTTGTCCTTGTTCATCATATTTAATATTTGTATGTGAAAATTTCATATGTCGAATTAAATTCCATTTGGAACAAAATCTTGATTGACATTCTAAACATCTAAGAGATGTTTCATTGATATGTACACATTTAATATGATTTAAAAGTGTATCTTCATAATCAAACATAGCTGAACATATAGTACATTTAAGTAATGATTGAGTTAGTTTTGGAATTATTGAAGATTTTTTTTTTATTGTTTTTATAATAATATCACTATCGGAACATGGTTCATTATTTGATAAATGAAATTTAAAATGCATACGTATTCCACGAATACTATTTGCTCGATATTGACATAAACGACAAATATATAAATTTGAATAAGTAATTTGATTTAGATCATCATCGTTTGAAATCACTGTTGATGATGATAATTGAGATCTAATTAAATAAATAAAAATTTTCTTTAAATCAGTAATATTTATATCATAGATTTTATTACAACATGAGCAGAACATCAGAAAAACTCAATAGTATACATGTTTGATTTATTATGAATCTATGAGATATCGATTAGTATTTTTATTAAAAATTAAATACGATATTTTTCTATTTACTCATCTATTCTAATTAAGAATATGTAAAATTGACTATTTACATAAGATATTTTGATAAAAGTTCGATCTAGGTTTGAAATTTTCCGATAATTTGTATGCGGTTTTTAATATGTGAAAGAAAATATACATAAATTTGATACGGTAGAAATTTCATTACTTGTACGTTATTAATTATTCTTATTTCTGTTGTTATATCTAACATGAAATTATGTTTTTTTCAATGCTCAGTAAAATAAAATTAATATTTTTTAAAATCATAAAGTTACTTTCATTAATTTATTGATTCATATGAACAAAATAACTAATTGCAATACTTATGTTAAAACAAACAATAAATCATAGAATTTCACAATCTTTTTTCTCACTCAAAATTTCCTATGGTACACTTATATCAATATTAGTAGCGTAAATAGAACGTCGTAGGTACGCAAGCAGTGCCCCATGATCTTTGAAAAAATAGTGTAAACGATGGCAATTACTAGTTCTTTTTCTTTCGGCGACCCGACAAGACCACCGCTGCTTACGCCACTAATTAATATTGATAGCGAATTATTATATATCTAATCTCTTCTTTATATTATTTAAAATAAGAATTCTTACCGAGTAGTATTATTTGTATTAGTTAAAGGATTCTTATCATTTGTCTTTTGTTTTTTATATTCAATACAATAATTATCTTGATGTGCTTGTAATGTTTTTAATGTACGAAAATGTATAAAACAATATTCACAACGATAAAGTTGTTGTTTTTCTTGTTGAATAATCTTTTTATTTTTCTCAATCGATAAATCCAGCGGTGAATTTGATAAAACAACTGAATTTTGACATTCATCATTGATTTCTTTTGGTTTACTTAAATCTAAAGGTTTATTATCTTGATTAGAA